CCTAATTAAAATTCTTTTGAATTGGAACACCAACATGGCGGCTGTGACGTCATGTGCAAAGCTCTATATGCTGTAGTTTCATATTGAATGAATTATTTTTCAAATTTTACAGCATCTGCCGCAACGTTAATCAATATTCATAACGCCAGGAGACACTTTGAGAAACTGGAGAAGAAACCGGCAAGCACTTAACACAGAGGAAGCGCTGCAATCTTAATTTAAGGTGAATTCTGAGCACTACATGGTGGTATCTGACGGGAGTTTTACGCTAGACATATTGAACGTCCAATTGCACGCATAATGCATTCGTATAATGGAGATAACATTTGAATTTAATAACAATATTATTTTATAGAGTTTATAAAAAAACTATTTTGTAGTAAAGTAGAAATCAAAATGCGCAAGGATTTCGTAATTATTGCTTAACGTCTGAACAATTGAAGGAAGAGGTTATTTCGCTGGCCTCAGAATGACAAAACGTAACAAAGCAACGGTTTTACTAACACTAACCCTATTCCAAACACCAACTCTAACCCTAATCCTTGTCCTAACCCTAACCTAACCCTACTCCAAGTTCGTTTCTAAACCAATTTTGAAAAATGTCATTCTGAGGTCAACGTCAACGAAATAACTTCTTCCACAATTGAAGTTGAACTTCTGTAGAGTGTTTTCGTGTATTCCCTTCTTGGTGGAGGGTAAATTATTCATTTTTTCCCTTCAATTTTTAATCAGGATAAAACTTTATTTAAAAAGGTTCAAAAATGTTAATTTAATTTTATTCATTTCTAAAATAAGATTTTAAAATCTCGTTAGAGGAAAGAGCCTGGGAACGAGGTTGGGTGTGTATCAATAGCTACAGGGTTGAGGGTTGTCTTGGGTCAGCCTTCAGTCAGTGTTATTTCTTTCTTTCATGGGTATAATCTGATTTGGTTTGTCAAAAAAGAATTTTATATAAAGCAATAACATTAATAAAAGTTTCATTTAGTATTTACAATATAAGGTTTGGTCTCGTTAAATGCATTTAATCGGCTAACGCATGTTTAACTTTATGCAGTTGGCCACCCAATTCACATGTTTGGGTTACTCTCATGCCTCAGTTATAATGTAGTTTTACAAAGTAGTTTTACAAAGTCTACCAAACTAATAATGTCTTCAAGGACAAAATAGAAAAAAAAGTTTTTTTAAACCTTTTTATCTTTGCATCTAAAAGGATGGCGGTAGCTGCTAAAACCTTTTTTCTGTTGTCTCAACTTTTAAAATGATGTATGAAGACCCTTTACAATTCTTTTCTATCTTGCTTTGCTTGGAGATATTTCGGCCACAAACAACCACAAACAGCATGTACTCCGCCATCTTGTTTTTATATTTACTCAGTAGTTTACATAATGGCCCTCAGTACCTATAAATAATATTAGTAACATTATTAAATTAATGTTAATAATTAGATTAAACATATTAAATAAAGCGATGGTTACACAATGGTTGATAACAATATTGCGTTGCCGTCGCACAAGGTGGCTACACCTGCAATATTTCACCTGCAATATACGTCTTTATGACGCTTTTCATTGGCTGGTCAAGAAACGTGTCAATTTCGACAATCATTGCCAAAAATCAAATGATTTGAAACTTCGGCAATGATTGCGCGTTAATTTTGTGTAACATATACAGCTTCCTAGTATACGTATTATATCGTCAATAGGAAGCCATCCTATAATGTTGAAAATAATTTAACAGAATTGTCGTTGATGCTGGCATCCAGTATGATCCTGGCATCCAGTATGATCCTAGCCTAGCCCACCAACCTAGCACAGCGCTTCTGAATCTTTAAAAGTCTATCCAATTGAGCAATTACCCCCACACATAACAGTAATATTCCATAAACCGACTTAATCAACGCATTGTACAACATTTTTCTACAATGCACTGTTAGATGATTTTTTGCTGTCTTAATTAATTAAAGAGGCATACGAGACCCACAACTGGGTTGCATCTCTCGAAAATACTATATGTGGATGAGCCAATACACTCGTCTTTTGACTATTACGCCACAAATGTTTCTTTGGCCGAAACGTTTTGCCTTTCGTTTTGATTCATGGGAGTGAGGTTCCCAGGCTAAAGAGGTATTCGTGACGTGTTATTGAAAGGGTGTACTGCAAATTGAAAGTCTTAAAAAATCAAGTTTTGGACAGAAATAATTCTTTTTTACCCAAGGCCAAGTTGTGACGTTGAACCAAGGGCCAAGATGGCGGACTACATACAGCTTTTGGCAGGGATGGATCCAACATGATCTGGTAGGGGGGGGGGGGTGCTCTGCCAGCTCTGGTGCCGAGTTGTGTCAGTCATGTGTGCCACCCACCCATCAACTTTGCTTCACTACTGCAAAGTCTTGCTTGACTACTGTATTTGAATTGTGATTGTTGTTTACAGTTCGCTTATCATCATGTTATTACTCAAATTACTGTATCTCATTTTGTCTCTAATAATTTTTTGCTTTATCATGAAAAATAGCACCCCTCTGGGCAGGGCTAGGGGGTGCACCCCCCCCCCCCCCCCCCCC